AAAATTATATATTATATTTTATTAGTTTTTGAAAACTAATTATATTATTGGTGATTTGTTAGCTTGGTGGACCTAGTTGGACTGTATTACTAGGAAGAAGAGACTCAACCACTGCAAGTTTGAGTAACGCAAATAGTGACATACCTGCACCAACTTTGAATCTTAGCAGTCTTATTTCTTCCTTTTCTAATAAAGGTTTCAGTTCCAGAGAAATGGTCGCTCTCTCAGGTTTTTTTTTTACATTAAATATTTTTTTTAAATCAAGTCACGAGATTTGCGTACGCTAAATTGATTTTTTTTTGGGATTGTACAGGTTCTCACACGATAGGACAAGCAAGATGCACTACTTTTCGCGATCGTCTCTATAACGAAACTGATATAAATGCTTCATTCGCTACATCGGTTAAATCGAACTGTCCACAAAGTGGAAGTGACAATGACATCTCTCCATTAGACGCCACAAGCCCAACCACATTTGATAATATTTACTATAAGAATCTGCGAATTCAAAAGGGTCTTCTTCATTCTGACCAACAACTCTCTAGTGGAGGCTCAACAGACTCTATCGTTAACACTTATAGTTCCAATTCAGCCACTTTCTTCACTGATTTTGCAAATGCCATGGTGAAAATGGGTAATCTTAGCCCACTTACTGGCACCAATGGTCAAATCCGCAAAAATTGTAGGAAGACCAATTAAGATTTTTCACAGAAACGAAATTTTAAAATCTAATTAATCTCGAGATTTTAAAATCTAACCAATCTCGAGATTTCAAGTGTTAGCTTATGTTTCCCCTTTTGTTTTATCAATAATTTTGATGTTCTATGTTGTATGTTTTCTCAAATCTTTTAATAAAGTGTTGATTCAATCTCTGAAATTTATTTACGAAATAGTTTGAAGAATAACATCGTGAACATTCAACATAAAAGAGAAAAGCAAAAGAAAACATCATGAAATTTGTTAAAATTAACTTTTAATACTTAGAGAAAAAAATCTATTTAATACTTCGAAAATTCATATCGAATGAAAGAAACAAAAGTGGAAATTAAATTCAATTAAGTTACAACTCAAGAGTTGCATAGTGTATAAAAAAATTACAAGATTATGTATCTATGGTCCCTTACAAGAAAATGATTTAAAAAAAAAGGTACAAATTACAATATGTATGTCACCATGTATCATCTTTTATGGTGAATTTGTAATTACAATTTTTGTATATAGTGTGTGTATATATATATATGTATAATTTATGGGTCAGCCCCAACTTGTGTAGTTGGGCCAATTCCAACTTGTAACCAATGAGAGGGATTTTCAGAATTTTTATTCATATCCTTTAATTCACTTAGCTTAGCTAATTTCAATTTACTATCTGCTTCATCATCTTCTACATTTTGTATTGTACCATTTATAATGTTGTTGTTTTCATTATTATTATTATTGTTGTTGTTGTTGTTGTTGTTATTTATGGTTTCATCAAGGTAGTAGTTTTCACTACAACTATGTTCTTTTGCTTCATTAGGATTACTACTCCATGGATGCAAATGAATTTCTGTTGAAACCTCAAAGCTCAATGGATTCATAGGGTCTCGTCTAATTCGCGACATGTCATCGTGTGATATTGGAATGTTGAGATCTAATGTATCACTTGATTTTCTCAAGTTTGATCTTAGATTTATTTGATCCATATGTCCATTGAAATTAAATTTGGATGTTGAATCTGGGGAATTAGAGGTTATCCAATGGCACCTTTTATGCCCACCTAAAGCTTGTCCTGTGGAGAAAACTCTATGACATATTGAACATTCATGGATTTTTGATTTCCTCATGGATTTTGAACCTTGTAATGTGAATTGATCATCTTGTGTGATATTCATATCATTATCATCAATTAAACTATCATCTAGTTGATCTTGTTTGGCTGCATAACATCCTTTAACCTTTTTGTGACTTGCCCTATGTCCACCTAGGGCTTGATGAGAGTTAAAGACTTTCTTGCATGCTTTACATTCAAACAATCCTTTATTAGAAATCCCTTTAGCCTTGTTGTCAAAGGGTCTCACTAATGGTGTTAGATAGTTCATGGGGTTTCTAGCTCTCTCCTCCTCCTTGCTAGCCGAGGCACACGACTCCTCAGGCTCAACCAACGATAGGTCAACCTTCGCGTTGGCTAAATCAATAAGACATTTTGCAAGGACAAGATCTTCATCTTCACTTGATGGATAAGTTGAAGTAGTACTATTAATGGTTCCAATTTTTGTTCTTAATGACCTTTTCCTTTTAGACCATCCATAGCCTTTTCTTCCACCATTATTAATGTAGTCCTCGCCCTCTAAACAGGGCGAGGACACTAGGGATTCCGCGTCTTCTGAGCTACATTTTCCATGTTCAAGAAATGATTTCCAAGATGAGAATTCTTTCCCACAATTCTCACAAACTCTATTGCTTTTTTGTCTATTAGGGTTTGTTCTTAATTGATATAACCTCTTATTACCTCCCTTAACACCCCCTCCAAACTTATCTTCCCAATCACTAGCTGGATCATCATCATCTATGTTTGCACCTTCATCTCCAATTCCATGAGCTCTCATATGTCCACCTAAAGCTCTTCCACACACAAAACCTTTCTTGCAAACTCTACAATAATGCTTATAAATTGGTTGTTGTTGTTGTTGTTCTTGATCTATACAAGCCATGATGTTTTACTTCAAACATGAATGTGGATATAATGTTAGTTGAGAGAATGGAGAGATGGGGGGGATTGTGCATGTATTGGTGAGTTTGTTGTTCTTGTACTAGAAGTTGTTGTAAGGTTGGATGGTGAGAAAAAAATTAGTCCTAGTTTTTAGTTGGAGTAGTGGTTTGTGGAGAGAAGTTTAGAGGTAGAGAGAAAAATAGGAGTGTAAGTGAAAGTAGGGAGTGAGAGTTGACAAGTGGAAGGAGAGTAGTAAAGCCTATGGGAGTGAATATATTTACAAGTAGTTAATTTTATCACAAACTTTTTATTAAACACTTGTTATCTCAAACAACCAAATGGATGGCACAAATAATAATATTTCTTCCTTTGCATTTGTAATTTTGTGTTTTATAATTATAATATTCCGGATTGAAGAGACCATATGTAAATACATGCACATAAATATTATTAATTTTAAAATTCCCTTCTTTTTTTTTAGTTCTTGTAGATTATTTGTTTTTAGTACATGTTTTTAAAAGATATTAAGAGTATAAATTCACACAATAATGTTATTGTTTATAAGAGTAAGGACTTGTTCTAGTTAAGATTAAATATTTGTTTGTAATACATCACACTGAATGTTGATTTAAGAACTTTAAAAATCAATATAGAGATTTGTCTTGTTTAATTTAAAGTTATAAAATGTTCTTGATAAAAAAAGCAAATAATGTTTTTTTTAAAAAAGAAATTATAATTTATAATATGCGTTTTAAGTGATATTAAAATTATAATTCATTATTAAAACCCCTATAATTGTAATGGAAAACCCATAAGAACTTCCCATATTGCCAAAAAAAACAAAACATATTCTCTCTTTCCATTATTAATTCTCATACTTTCCATTTTTAAAGTCAAACTACAAAAATCTTGATTAACATTTTAGTATGTAATTTTTCATTATATTAATATGTAAAAAACTGCATTATATAATACTTTTTGTATAGTTTTTAAATATCTAATTTTTTTTTGTTTAAAAAACCAAATAAGTGTAATCTAATTTAATTTTAAAAATAAGTCAAATTGACTTTAAAAAAATACAATATGACAAATAAAAATGAATAGAGAGATTATTACGAAAAGTAGAAGACCCAAATTATAAGCTACGAGGAGGTATTTCTTTCTACTTCATCCTTATATGAGTCGGGCACTATTTTATTTAATTTCTTTAGATGATATTGTACTATTCCTTTCGTCTATTTTTATTTGTCATATTATGTTTTTCAAAAAGTTAATTTGATTAATTTTTAAAGAAAAATATAGATTATATTAATTTAATTTTTTAAATAAATAATTTAGCTATTCAAAAACTATATGAAAAGTACTATAAATTACAATTTTTTGCATATCAATATGATTAAAAAATGGAATAATGCACAAGTACTCCTCAACTTATGCCCAAAATCTCAGAGACACACTTATACTATGCAAAGGTCCTATTACCCCCTGAACTTATTTTATTAATAATATTCTACCCCTTTTCGACTTACGTGGCACTATCTTGTAGGCCCAACACTGGTTGATTTTTTCTTTCAAACTAGTGCCACGTAAGCCTAAAAGGGGTAAAAAATTACTTATAAAATAAGTTCAGGGGAATAATAGGACCTTAGTATAGTAGAAGTGTGTCTTTGGGATTTCGGGCATAGGTTGAGGGGGTACTTGTGCATTTTCCCTTAAAAAATAAATCCTAAAATGTTAGTCAATTTTTTTTATAATTTAACTCTAAAAAATAAAAACCATAACAAAAAATATTGGACAGAATGAGTACTAGACATAGTGAGCCCATATAAGCACAAGCTCAATATCTGTTATTTTGTTTATCTCAATTTATCTAGGTAATTTATACTAATATTTCTGACATAATTTTTAAATAATATATGTTATGTTTTTTATTTCAATTTATGTAGCATGTGCGAAATTTCGAGAGTTAATCACATTTTAATATGTTTTTCAAATATTTAAGTTGTTAATTATTGTGAGTTATAGAACTCTTAGCGCAATTTTCACATAATATATATTACTCATTCAATCTCAATTTTACAGTACACATGAATTTTTGAAAGTTGGTTGAATTCTTAGTACTATTTACATAATTTTCAAATAATATATGTTACCACACAATTCTAATTATGCAACACATGTGAAATTTTGAGAATCAATCAAATTTTTAGTATGATTTTGAATTTTGAATTATTATAATTTTATATTTTTTTTTGTAAATTTCAAATAACATATGTTAATCTCTGTCCTAATCTATGTGATCACATGCCAAATTTTGAGAGTCAACCAAATATTTAAAGGAAACTTAAATAAATATATTATAATTAAAAAATATTTACCAATTATAACAATAACATTTTTTTCACTTAATCACTTTTAATACATGTATAATATAATTTTAATACATTTAACAAAATACAATTTATTATTCACATATAATACAAGTTTTGTTGATTGATAATATAGTTATCACACATTTTTAATACAATTATCATACAATTTGTCAATTACTTACCAAACAAGCATAATATATTTTTAAAGATGGTTATGATAAATATATATTGCATACATAATTCACTTTTAATACATATAGTAAATTTAACATAGTATAGCTATAAATGGTAATAAATTAAAAATATCGCTAAAATCAGTAATTCTTTATAGGGAAAATTATATATAATAGCAAACTAATAACCTAAAATAAATGAAGTAGCTACAATTTGATTTAATTGTGCTCTATAGCAAACGTTTGCAAAAAAATTTCAGGCGCCTCTCTCCTAAATATCTCGCTCGCCACTCTCCTCCAATCTCTCGCTTGCTTCCTCACTTTTTATACAAATACAAGTGTATAAAAATTGTTTCTAATTGTATAAAGCAGAGAAAATTGTATAAATACATATATTTTTGTTCTCCTCTCTCTCCTCTTCCAGATCTCGCTCGCCACTCTACCAAATCTCGCTCGCCACCCTCGCCTTTCTCACTTATACAAACAGAAGTAAAATGTATAAATTGCGTTTTTGTTTGTATAAAGTGTAAGAAAATTGTATATACACATGCAAGTACATATATTTTCGTCTTATACATTTATAATTATACAATAAAAATACTCCCCTGCCCAGTTTCCTTTGTCTTTCTCTCTTTCTCGTTTTATACAATTTTCAAATTGTATCTAATTTCTCTTTTTCTCGTTTTATACAATTCAATTCAATTGTATATTCCTTGTCAAGTCTCTTTTGTCTTTCTCTCTTTCTCATTTTATACAAATTCAAATTGTGTATAATCATTCTATACACTTATAATAATACACTTCGTTTTTATACAGTTCTATGTCCAAGTGTCTTTCTCTTTCTTATTTTATACACTTCGTTTTATACAATTTGCTTCAACTGTATATATATATATATATATATATATATATATATCAAATTATACAGTTTCCATGTTTGCTATAGAGCGCAATTATGCAAACTTTGCTATAGCATACAAATATAAATTTTTTATTTACTATATGTGAAAGTTGCCCTTGTTTATATTGAAAAGTACCACTCCAAGTAATTTTTCCAATTTTTAATAGGTTCTTTTTTTTTTTAATAATTTAGGTTGTTAATTATGGAAATTTATATACAATTTTTTCATAATTTAAAAAAATAAGGTCCTTTCTTTATAAATTCTAAAAATAGACCCTTAGGCCTTAAGCTCCACTTCTACTCTCCTTTTTCTTTTAATTTTTAAAATATGTTCCTTTCTTTGTAAACTCGCAAACATGATCCAAAGCTCCATTTCTGTTCCTTTTTCACAAATTTTAAAAATAAGTTTCCTATAAGTAAATAATGGAACTTGACCTTAAGCTCCTCCTTTTCCCATTAGATATTGTTATACTTTTATAAATACTATTTGTAATTTTATATTATAATTTGTATAAATATAATTCATTCGGGATCAAAAGAGTCCACATCCCCTAAATTCGCAGCATTCATAGGTATTTTTTCTCCTCTTCTCATCTTATTTCATTGATTTAATTTTTATTTAATTTTTTTGTATAAATTTGTGTTTTTTCACCTGTAGATTTGTACATTCTTGTGAAAAATTTCGATTTTTTTTTAGTTTTAATTGGAGCTAATTACCTTCGCATTTCTGAGATCTAAAACTTTTGAACTGTGTTGATGTTTAATGTTTTATGATCTGGTGGCTTTGACATTTGATTTTTCGGATCGGGTAGGTTAGGTTTTTTTCGGATGATAAAGGAAAACCCGCATTCGCTATATGGGTGCACAAGGAGTAATAGCTCCGCTCTTATGCAATAGCTCGCAAATTACATAGGAGAGGTAATTCGCATTAGGCAAGCCTGAACAAGCTCGATCCAGAAGGTAAACCCTTGCTTTCGCTGGTAAGGGGTTTTAAACTTGAGACCACGTGGAAATCCCAAGCTCAAATCACTGGATCACCCCGAAAGTCCGGTAGGGTAGGGTTTTTGTCCAGATGATAGGAAAATAAAGTTGAATTTGTGCTGATGATTTGCAAATTGTTTACTGATTGTAAGACTCTTGAAATTTGTGGTGATATTGAGAATATAAGATTAGTGTATTTCTTCCCTAAATTGGGTACATGTAAGTTTAATTTATGCTTAAAACTCAGACACCGCAGCCACGCTAAAAGAAAACTATGCATACATTTTGTGACCTTAGATTTTAGGCTTCATTTGAGTAGTTAGTGTAGTTGTTGTTATAACAAGTACTTGCTTGTATTTGAATTGTACCAGTTGTAGTTAGCAATTCTAGGTCGAAGGTGCAGTATAGAAGTTAATGGGAGCAAGAATGATGAATAATCGATACACCATTTTTATTGCATAGTCCGTGTCCGGTAAGTCTATGTGAATCCCAAGAAATTTTAGTTCCATCAAGACAATTTCCTTCCAAGTTTATACCTTCACATCGACTCTCCATGACGACACTATCTCAAGTGACCTCTCAATTTATTGTTGACCTTTGGAGGAAGAAGTTCATGGAACCTCTCCTTCGAGGGCGTCTAGATAATGGAATGTTATTCCTTTGTAATGCTTGAAGTAAGTGAAGTCACAAAGTTGGCTATGTGGGACTACATCCTACCCTCCCGAGACCCTACTAGTGGGATTATACTGTGTATGGTGATGGTGGGGCTTGGACGAACTTACACTCACTTAGACTATTCCACCAAATTATTAATGCGTCAATCAAACGGGAAGTATAAAATTAGCAATACAGAAGCAAGAATAGGAGTATCCCCCACCTAGATCCATGGATCACTTGCCCAAACAAATGAAGGATCAAGTTTCCCTGTCATATCTAGATCCCTGGATCACATTCCTCCTATTGGATTTGCTACTACACTATAGGCATACTGCCTCGAGCTTGCGTGTATTAGTAGCTCCTGCTGACTGCTGTAACTTAAGTATAACCACCACTAATACCTGTTCTAGACAAACCATTTGGCTTATTATTATATATATACACAGCAATGGACACTATTGCAGTGAATCGTGTAATCCAAGTTAAAAGATACGTATAGTAGTTCTAGCAGTCTCAACTCTCATATCACTTGTGCAATGAGGTTGATTTACCTCTTTTGACCGATAGTTGATTTACCTCTTTTAGCATTTAAAGGTTATGATGCATAAATATCAGAAGGGATATATATATATATATATATCAACTTCATATTGTTATGTATTGTTGGAATGCCTGGATGCAATAGTTCCTATGTTCCCTTTAGTCGATCAATTCATTTTGTTACTGTCTTTAATATGTTCACCGGGTTTGACTAGTTGCAATATATCAGATTTCTGTGATTCATCGCAGTAAAGATTTTCTATTGAAACAGTGAGTAGAAATGGCTTTGGGTGGAGGTGGACCGCAAAGGGGGACTGCAGCAGCAGCAGCTGCTAACCTACGTCGAAGGAAGACAGGAGGAGCAGGTGGAGCTGCAGGAGGAGCAGGTGGTACCATGCTCCAATTCTACACTGATGATTCCCCCGGACTCAAGATATCCCCCAATGTTGTGCTTGTAATGAGTATTGGCTTTATAGGTTTTGTCGCAATCCTTCACGTCATGGGTAAGCTTTACTTTGTCCGCAGAGAGGGCTAGAGCCATCTCATTGCTGACTTTTGAAACTTTTGTTGGGCAAACAGCTTTCTAGTGAAAGGAAAACTGACATTGTAGATTTGTTTTCTTGTTTGTTTGTCTATGCAATGAAGTTTATAGAAAAGTTTTCATAGTTATGAGTTGAAACTGTTTCTTGTGCCATCTGTGTTCCAATGTCTTCTAATGAAAAGGAGGCCACCAGATTCCAGTTTCTTAGAATATGAATGCAATTATAACTTTAGCTGAGATGTTTTTGCTTTGCTCGCTTGCACTATATACCTTGCTTTAAAAGGCGGGGGCGTGAGGCGTAAGCCTCAACACACGTGGCGTAAGTTCCATGGATTTACGAGGCCTAATTTTATATATTCAGTTTTTTAGTTTTATTACTAATAAGCAAAATTAAACCTTTTAAAGATTTATGTTTTTTATTTGAATAAGTATTGATAATCAATAGTAAAGAAAAAAATATTGTGATTGCTATTCGAGAAATATCAAGCAAAAAAAGTTGTAAAAAATAAATTAAAAATGTCTCGCTATACGTTTTTACGTTCATGACTTACGTTTTTATACTCAAGACTTATGTCTTAAGACTTGGGCCTTATAGATCTACGTTTTTTATTTACGCCTCGGAGCGTTTAATAGCCCCACCCAGAAACTTCATTTACTTTTTGATAGCCCTGCCCAGAAACTCAAACACTTATGTATATATATATTTTTCTATTTTATATATAAGAAAATTATTTTTCTATTTTATTTTTTTAAGAAAGCAGAAATTTTTTCACTTCTCTTTGTTGGAAAACAAAATTCCATATTAGCTTTGAATGACAGATACCCCACCCATAATATCAATTTTATCCTTGATATTTAATTTTTCATCTCTACAATATCATTTTATATCATATATAATATTTTCTTTCTTATTTTATGTACTTAAATTTTTTTATATAGGTTCAATTTAACATTATAAATAGAATAACAATTTTATGAATTTACTACAGATCAAACACCATATTGTTATTATTAAGTAAATATATAAATTTAAATACTACATATCTCTTATTATCTTTTAGAGTATTATTTTATTTTATTTTTCTATATAGATAAACGAGTTATGATTATCTGTAATGCAATACTTTTTAAATAATATAATTCAAAATTTGTTTACAATACAAATAAATATTGATTTTTTAGGAGTTTGTTATATAATACTTCGATAATTCATTTTTACTTGTCACGTTTTGATTAGACGCACTCATTAAAAGATAATGGGGAACTTACATAAATATACTATAATAAAAAAATATTTACCATTTATAGCAATAATATTCTTTTTCACTTGATCACTTTTAATTCATTTATAATACAAGTTTAATACATATTACAAAGAATAATTTATTATTCACATATAATACAAGTTTTAATGATGGATAATGCATTTATCGCACATTTTAATACACTTATAATACAATGTGACAATTTTTTACCAAACAAACATAAGATATTTCAAAAACAATTACAATTCAAATATATTGCATGCATAATTCACTTTTAATACATATTACAGATTTATCACAGTATTGCTATAAATGATAATAAACAAAATGTATCGCTAAAATCAGTAATTATTTTTAAAAATATATTAATTCATATAATTTTTCCAAAGATAATTATTGCTATAAATATTTTATCAAATTATTCCTATCAAATGTAATCTTGAAAAATATTTATTTCATCAAAAATAATAAGTATAAATGAAAAAATATATATTTTAAAAATAAGTAACTATTATAAAATGTCATTAGTTTACCAAAAGTGTTCGAGACTACGTGTCATGGATTCATTGGCCACAGTGATGTGGCCTCCTCCACGTATAATAAATCAAAGCTTTAAAGTCCAAAACTTAATAGAATATCCATTAAACAAACGCGTCAAAATACTTCTCATCCATTTTCCTTCCAGATCGGAGAATCCATTTTCCCTAATTCTCAGCATTCTTAAGGTATTTTTCTCCTTTTCTAGCATCATTTGATTAATTTTTTTTTTCATTTTTTGTATGAATTTGTCTTCATACCTGCAGATTTAATTAGATTTGTACTGATTTTTGCTTGTGAATTTTTTAAATTTTCATTGGAGCAAGTTTATGCAATTGATTTGTTAACAAAAAGTGAATTTCGCATGTGTTGAGATCTGAAATCGGAAGGATCTAAACTCTTGAGTTTTGATTTGTGTTGATGTTTTATGATCTGATGGCTTTTACAATTTGATCTCCCGGGTTCAGATTTAGCAAGTTTTCGGAATTTTTTGAAACCGCGATGTGAATTTATGGCGATGACTTGCGAATTGCGCAATGATTCTACATGTTAGTTTAATTTGAAGTCAAACATTTTGTGATTGTCTTGGGGATTCATCGGCTAGTTAGTGTAGCGGCGGATCTAGGATTTTATTGAGGGTTTTGATAAATTAGAAATCAATGATTTGAACTTGGAACAGAATATAAATTAGTCTTTAGTTTTGTATATATACATAAAAGGCTTAACACTCTTGGCCACCTTTAGATTTGCTTCTGAGATCAAGCACTTGCTCGAATGTAGCGGGTCGTTCACCCCTTTCAATGAGTATTTCTCTTAAAACTGGATGCACTGTATTTGAGTTGTACCAGTCTTATAAAGGTAGTTATCAATTCTGGGCTGAAGGTGCAGTATAGCAAGTTAGCAGGGGCTAGAATGATGAATAAACTATACATCATTTTTGTTGTATGTACCTTTATCTTGTCTTGAAAATATATTCAAATGAACTTGTACTAGATGGGGGTTCATAAGCTTAGTGTTTTGGGAAAATAGGGAGATGGGGCAGGCACCCTCGTGTTGCAATTGTATGGTTTAGTTTGATATTAGCGAAAACTTGTTATTTGCTTTGATGGCTTGGTGAGGGTGGTTTGAAACAAGTGTGGACATATTCAGGATTCACCATCTCTTTTGGTATACAATTTTGTGAAGAGGTTTCAACAAGTGAAATGAGTGGAAGTGGTGTGGTTTTACCATAGAAGGACATGAAAAAGAAATGACCACTTTAGGGCGGGCTAAAAAATGGAAATAAAATAAAATGAGCGAATAGAGTCTCCTTGTTTCTTTGCAAGCCGTCTGATTCTCCTGAGCATTTATATATCGTCTTTTACCTTGGCCCAATCATGTCTTTCCTTTTCTTTGTACGTCTCAATGTTTGCATTACAATGTTGAATAGTTAATATTTAGTAGTACCAACTTCCACTTGTGGAATTACATTGGTATGTTGTTCTATAGTTTGTCATTCCTAAAGATCTTTATCAAGTGAATAATTCAAAATTCTATTATTTCACAATTTGTTTAATGTTGTTTGACTAATATCTTAAATAATACCTTGTTTGTTCCAATTGTGTAAGCCTAATTTGACTTTGATGGTTGAGTTGGTTGCACTGGTAGTTGATGTACCTTTCTGAGGGTTTAGAGGTTATGATGCATAAATATAGGAAGATATATATTGTTGAAATGGCTGGATGTAATAGTTACAGTGTTCCCTTTAGTTGATCATATGTTGTCTTTAAAATGTTCACTGTGTGTTGAGGACTTGCAAAAGATCTCTGAGATTCTTCCCACTGAGGATTTTCTATTTAATACATTGAAACAGTGACTAGAAATGGCATTGGGTGGAGGTGGACCACAAAGAGGGACTGCAGCAGCAGCAGCTGCTAACCTACGTCGAAGGAAGACAGGAGGAGCAGGTGGAGCTGCAGGAGGAGCAGGTGGTACCATGCTTCAATTCTACACTGATGATTCCCCCGGACTCAAGATATCCCCCAATGTTGTGCTTGTGATGAGTATTGGCTTCATAGCCTTTGTTGCGATCCTTCACGTCATGGGTAAGCTCTACTTTGTCCGCAGGGAGGGCTAGTGACCGAACCGTTGCTGAGTTGGGAAATTTTTGTTGGACAACATCTTTCATCGTTTAAGGAAAAACTGACATTGTAGCTTTATTTTCTTGTTTGTTTGTCTAATGCTATGGAGTCTATAGAAAAGTTTTCTAGTTATGAGTCGATTTTTTCTTGTGCTATTCCAACACTTTCTAATGAACAAGAAGGTGCCAAATTCTAGTTTCTTAGACCGTGAATGGGATCATGTCGCAGTTATAGCTTTAACAGAAATGACTTCTCCACTGCTCGCTAACAACTTTGGAATTAGATAATAACAAGAAATGCATGCACCCATTTTATTCCTCACTTCTGACCTTTTAGTGTTAAAAAAATTAAAATAAAAGACAACAAATCGGGAACAACTTACTAAATAATATAACACTATCTTAGCTGATTTTTTAAAATGTAATTATGATGTATTGAAAATGATCACCAAAATTAACTGCAGAGTCGAACTCGATCACGAAAATTGGTTACCTAGGGAAAACCACAGCTTAATAAGACTCTTTTTTCTGGTTCGCCTCTCAAAAACTTCAAGGCACACTGCACAGATTGAACTTTTAAGTGACGAATTCGCAACACCTTAATTTATATATACTGCTGAGTTTTGATGTTAGCACTTAACCACATTCGTACATACTCTATTAACACCAGAAACATCCATGGAGCAGCCAAACACACTAGTTCAGAGATAAAGTAGCCAGAAAAGTTGCATTCGCATGTGCATATTAGTAAAAAAGAAAGAGCTCCATGCGACGCTCCGGGGATCTTTTCGTTCTTCAGCACTTACATCAACAACACATTTATGACCAAAATCTCATAAACTTACTCCCTCAGCCATATCTCAAGCTTACTTGTGATTAGCACCCATCGTCACTTCCCTATGATGAGAATTCTTGGTCATCAGCTTCAGGAGGGAGAATGTACATGTCAAGGCCGTAGGTCTCGGGTTCAAATGTGGGGTCTTTAGCTTTGATCTTCTCTATGGCCAGCTTCACCCCATTTCCCATGTAAGGAGCAGCGTACTCCATGAGCTCCTGTCTGTACAGGGAGGAAGCCTTGTATTTCTGGATAGCAGCAGGAGCAGCCTCCTCCAATTCCCTTCTCAGCTCGGAGATAGTTTGGTGAAGGATCGTCTGGACCAGCAAAATAGAGTCCTTCTCACCAGTTAGAGCAGTTATCTTGTTTGCAGCCCCGGCCAACTCATGCTCAAGTCTCTCCTTCTCCTTCTTAGAGTCCTCGAGCTTCCGACTGACTTTAGCCAACTTATCTTTCAAAGAAGAGGTCATCTTTTCCTTGTCATCCCTCACTTTTGCCTCCTCATCATACTTATCAGTGACTAATAGAAGGCGTTCTGACAGGAGACAAAAATAGTTGATGCCCTACAAAAGGGAGAAAAAGAGGTCAAGAAAGGAAACAGAAGAGAAAAGAAACAAAGTTGAAAGGAGAGGCTAACTTCATTAAGAAAAGAAAAGAGAGAGAAACTGACCTCGTAGAAGTGACGAAGCCCCTCTTCAGTGACCTCTTGATCCGTCTTGTTATTCACGACAACCCGCTCCCACATTTCAATTGTTGAGTCCAGAAGATCGACAGGTGGAAGGCAAGGTTGCTCCTCCTCAATAGGCTGTGAGCTTGAAAGCAATGAGCTGCCTGACTTTGAGCCCATCGGGACTGAAGGAGTGGAGGTTGAAGGGACACCAGTAATGGGAACACTGCACGGCTTGGACTCCCCATATTTCTGTTCAGCAGTAGCAGCAGGTATATAAGCAGCATCACCGACAGGCTTGCTTGAGCTTGTAATTTCAAGTACTGTTGCTCCATAGGCACAAGGCTGAGAGACTGAAACATGCTTTTCATTTTGCCCTCTGCCTTGAGCTTGGCGGGACAGAAGCTTCTCACATTGTCTTGCCAAAATTGCAGCAACCTCATCCTGCTCGAGTGAACAACTAGCAGGAACAGTTACTGCAAACAAACAAAAAAGTTCAGCAACATGAAAGGTTGGAAAGTAATAATTTCACTTAGTTGACTTAAAACACCAGCAAAGAAACGCATTCTATCAGAGGCAAACCATGATTGATGTTATCTGCTCTACACTTGGAAACTCATCAACTAGAACTTGATCATGTTCCTAAGGGTTGTGGTGAGCTAGGGCTCAAGATTCACTCCTGCCAGTTCATAGAGGTAGGTAGCAACTCCACAGGTAATGGAAAACAAAAAATTTCCTCTCAAGCTGTGAATTAAAATGGCATTTGGAAATATTTTCATGAGATCTAATAACCAACCAAGATAATTCAAAAGCTACTTGGCAAAAATAAACTTGAAAAGAAACACATATTTGCTGCCTATGATCCCACAGAAAACTAGCTCAATGTCTAGCAGATGAAAAGAAAAAACTGAGACTGAGCTAATGTAATTGAGGCAAACTATATATCATCTTCACTCTTCACAAACTCTGTTAGCCCTATCATTGCTTTGGGGTATACATGCCCAAGATGGAAAATATACCTCTAATTTCTTCAGAGGTCAAGAGCTGTCATGTCCTAATCTATGGTTTAACCAAATTGAACGAGAGTAGTCCAAACAGGAGGAGAAGTCGGAAATCTACTGCATGGGGCAGATGCTTTTAGATTCTGAGTCTGGTATGGAGTTCGAAGATAATATTCTACATGAAAAAAATCATGTCATCTTGCAACCATCTGAGAATACACAAAGTTAATCAAAGGAAAAGATGAAGAAGCAAACTTGTCAGAAGCCAGGAAACAGAGGCGCAAACAGATGATGGAACAATCACAAACACATAAAGCAGCCAAAGAAATGAATAAAATGAAGAGAACTGCAGAATTCAACAAAGAAGCTTAACCCGTACCTTTAGCTGATAGATATAGGCAGACGAGAAAAGGGTAGAATTCAACAAAGAAGCTTAAACCGTACCTTTAGCTGATAGATATAGGCAGACGAGAAAAGGGCAAGTGTAAAATCAAATGGAATGAAGGTAAGCAGAAAACACAGAAGGAGGAAGCAGGAAGTTGCATGCACAAGACAAAAAACTCTCCCTGAGAAACCAAGAAGCAGGTGCTAATGTTTATATGAGGAGGAGGATGTATCACCAAAAAGGAAGCAATGTATCCCCCTTATTTTTCGGCCAACACACGTCACACGTCGTAAAACAAATGAGCACAACATTGACTTGCTTAACATTCTACCATGAACAAATCCAAGCTTATGAAGTTAGGAGAACATTTGATAGTATAATGGATAGAGTGAGCTATCTCATATACAAATCCTACCCAAAGATGGATAGGTCATGAATAACTTCTTTTAGTAACATAGTTGTTCATTGATAAAAGCTACCAACTATCAGTAAGATGGCAAAACTTAGCTTTGGGCAACAGGTACAATTTATGAATAGCAAATAGTATAGACAGAAGCAAGGGCTCATAACTTGAGGACACACTCTTTAAAGGAACTCTTCTTACCATCTCCTCCAATTGCTCTCTCAAATTCATTCCTACTAATGCCAAGTCTAATTTAGGCATTGAAGAATAACCCTTGATATTGCTGGGATCTCATTGCAATTTTTTCTCCCGTTTTCCCTGGCAATGAGGCAATCCCAAAGCAACCTTTTACAGCTCAATCTTTCTGACCTATGAGCTAACAAACTATTTCGACAAAAACTACTTTATAGCGGTAGCAGGTTTGCTAACAGCTCCATTTCAACATAGCAATGATGCATTGCACCACAGCTGCAGTAATCAGAGGACGAAAAATGGCAGGTAAGGCTACAGCCTCTTTTAACAACAGTGATGTTACAGGGAGAGAGATGAACAACATAATTAGTCACATTGTTTTACATTACTTTCCTATATTCATTTTGTACCTTTCTCTACCTCGGTAATCTGTTACTCATCAAACAGGAACTGTAGATCATTGGACAGGGGCTGGCTCACTTGCTCCCTCTTACTCCCCGCACGATGGTAAATGAAAAACGTAAGCATTCCAGCAAACAAAGCAAAACTGCTGAAATAATTGGAAGAGGAACTTGTACTCAACTTAACCCCAAATACATTCCCGTAAAGTGAAATCCACACTGAGCAATTAGAAAACTATACAGCAACGCTAGAAGGAGGCAACATAAATAGAATCCACTACCAGAGGAACATAAACTTGCTAAACTGAATTGATTTTAATTTCACTTCTTAACATAGAGTGAGACCTCTAGCAGATAATGTCAATCGTAATAAATCAATCATGGAGCAAACATTCATTAACACGAATACAGGATCCTATACGAAGCACATAGCTTAAGCATTGAACATCAAAAAAAAATATTACCAAATCCCGGTGCTGAGACGGTTGGTTGTGGTGGTGAAGAAGTTGACACAGATACTTTTCCAGAGAGAGAAGAAGTTGAAGTGGCTGATACCGTAGTAGTAATTTCTGAAACCGAAGAAGGCGAAGTGACTGATGATAGTGAATCCGCAAAACAATTGTTGGTAGTAGTCGGTCCTAAAGATGACGAAATCACAGTTGATGAGCTCGCATTCGAAAACCAAGGTACTGCATAAACAAAACTATGAGTTAGTACTTAGTAGTAGCAGAATCGCAAGGTTTTTCAGATACCGATTGACGAAGGCGCTGAATAAAAACTGAAAAGCGTGACAGACAGTTATAGGAAGACACGGTACAACTTACAAGTAGAGTTATCAGTTGAAACGAAACTAGTTCCGAGCAACCACGAAGGAACTGTAGCCGATAGTCCAGGAACTGTATCACCGGCAACCGGCGAGGAAGAGCCGGAATCAGTAGATGAAAATCCGAACTTCATCGGAGAAGAAGGAGGAGTGATAGTGTTAAAATTTGAAAATGAAAATGGTGAAGCAGCATTTTGCCTTTCCATATTATTTTCTTATTTCTGACATTAATGCTGCGTGTTTACCTTACTTTTTTTTGCCCAAGGGAGTGGAAAGGTTAAAGAATGGACCGAAAATGATTTTAACTTTTTGGTTCCTTACGAAGGAAGATTGGTATAAATAAGTTTTATCAGTATAAAATAGACTTTCTCATTTTTACTCTTTTTAAATTATTTATATGTTTTTTTATAATATCAATACATATTTTTGAAAATATATATTTTTTCAATATAGAAAAATTAAGTAATTAATTCATTTTAATAGATTAAATTAGTTAATTAGAATAAATTAATTCATATTTATTTATTGAAAGTTTGATTTCAACAGTATTGACTAACAGTATAATGATAAACTAGTCTGATTTTTTAACAAGGGGAAAAATTTAATAACATGGCATATAAATAAAAACAAAAGAGATAATAACTCAAACAAATTCGATATTGATAAGTAAAATTAAGCATTATGAATATATTAAATTTCATTTAGTATGTCTACAAAAGCCTTTCAGAAATAAAATATGGGTAGTTTGATAAGGCGTATAAAAATAATGTTGAATAGAGTATACTTCTATTAATTATACATAGAAATTTCTTTTGTATTGTTTATTTGATGTATTAAAAATTACATACATTATGTAAGAAAATTAATTTATAAAAATATTGTCCTCCACAATAATAGTGAAAAAGGTATAAAAAGGATTTTGAGAGGTAAATTGAATTTTAATCATGCTAATGCATACATTGAATCTCTTGCATTACTAATACCTAAAAAATAATTATATGAGAAAGACATACCTTAATATACAATAGAGTGTAATAGTTATATATAAATTGAAAAAAAATATACTAAACAAAGCACTATTATACACAAAATCAATATACTCATTATACAAAAGGACACTTGGCATTAAGCTTGTAAGTGGGCTGGAGCAGATCAGTCTGGATTCTGGCCCATTAAAAAATCCACCAGTCTCCAAACTGGGCTGGTTGTGGCCCATATCTTAATGGGGTGGACCATTTTTTTAGTAAAAATTAGGCAAATTACATAGTATAAGGAAGAAATTACTTCTTATTCCTACTCTTTCATTAGTTATCAAAAATCACGCAAATACTTTAACTAATAATGGTCTGATACTTAAATTATTAAGTTGTTGTTATCATTTCAAGCGTCAAGTAAGGAATTTAAAACAGAAATTAATTGATTTTCACAAATCACACGTATGTATTTCCTTCAACCAATCAGTCATAAACTTCTAATTGAATTATAATTTTAAATTTCAAATTGTGAAACATTCTTCCTATTCTTTGAAAAAACAGTAAAAGTTTGATGCAAACAATTATGGAACGAAATTTCGTGAAGATTCGAAATAAATATTTCGATCTTGTTAAGGCATTATGGATCATGGGAGAATGATGTTAGATACGAGCGATACAGAAATGATGTGCTAGTGATTGGAGAAAATATTTCATTCGTAAATCTTATTTCAGTAATTGCAGTTGTATTGGGTATTAATGAATTGAAAAAAAAAGATCGAGATCAGGTAATTCGTCTCCATTGTGTATTTGGAATGATATGAGGGTGAAATTGTGCATTGACATGAAGAACATAACGTAGGATTCGGTATATATCCACTATGCATTGATACATCGGATAAAAGTGATGAAGAGATATAAATTTTGATGCAACAATAGGTGCAATTGTGTGTATTAAAGGTGAAAAATGGGACACAAACATGTACTTTCTTCATGAAAGATTCTTGATGCTTGCTTTTAAGAAATATTATGCTTTATGTCTACTAATTCTCAAATTTGGTACTTTATGAAGTACTTTTAGGTTATTAATTTATGATGCAGTAAATGAAAAATGTTATGTTTTCGATTCTGGTTACATTTTTTGATTCTTAATTTTTGATAAAGTTAGTTTGATATACAATGTTTTGTGTCTAATACTTAATTGTTTGTAACTTTTGTATGGAATAGAATAGTAGTATCAATAGATATATGTCAAAGTTAAAAGAGATAACATGTAAAAAATGTATCATTTGAAGCAATGATATATCATATATATAATATCTTCTTCTAAATTATGTATCTACTAATAATAGAGTATCAGATGTTGTATTTTATATCAATAATATATATATTATATAATTTTAATATTTATGGACGCAATTGTGTTTCAAGCACATAATAATTTTCTTGAAATTTAAAAGCAGCTTAAAAATTTAAAGTAATTTTGATATCAAAATGGTGCATTTGATACTTAATATATTTGTAACTTTGGCATGAGTTTACTAAATCGTATCAATTTCAGATGTTTGAAGCACCTAAGTATCTTATACATGATATTGATTTAATATATCTGTTGTGATTTGTACCAGTCTTATAAGATATAATTTGTACCATGTTTTGTGAAAATAAAATTTGTTATTTGTGAAAACAATGTTGTATCATATACTTAATAATTTTGTAGAAATTTTATATCAGTTTCACTGTAATATAAACTGAAGTGATATGTATAGTACTTATAATATACAAAAATTAATAACGTATTAAAATATGTTGAAAATGAATTTAAAAGCGACATAAAAATTATGGACATAAAAACTCTTCAAATCTAGAAGTATAAATTACTTAGAAATATAATGTTTACGTGGGAAGGAATACACCAAAACACTTAAGGTATCTTTAAAATAATAAATTTATCTTGATTGAGAGTCAGTAAATAAACTACTATTCTACATTAATCAGTTCATCATCTGCCAATGGAACGAAGACACCCTTAAACCTTGGTCGGATCAGCATTCTCGTTACTGTATTTCGCCTTAGCCTTGTCTGTACCATATTTCCATAACAGTGTTGCATATCTTGAGCGAAGATAGTCACTTCGGAAAGGGATCGATGGGACCTTCACTTTGTCGCTAAAACATTCAACAAAAGCAGCTACATACATTCCGCAGTTAGTGCAAACAGAAAGAAGATTCACTATTACTGACATATAATAATGCTTGCTTTAATTGATACTAAATAACAAGAATGTTGGTACACAAAATCAATTATACTGTATCAAAAGTGACAAATATAATGTGACCTAAATATAATTCTCGTAACCCTTTTTAATCTTATAAATATCATAGACAATTATCATTTAATATGACGTACTGTACCAAAACAAACATACATGCCAAAATGAAAATTAAACAGTTATCTTATATACATTAATGTTCATGTTATAGTAATACTTTATGAGTTCTCTTCACTTTTGATACAATAACAGTAAATAAACAAATACACAAAACACTTACAGTCCAAAATGATACTGAAATAAGAATATTAGATACATTAATGTTCATGTTATTTGATACTAAACAAAAACAAAACATAAAAGATACACAAATTACATTATTGCTTATGTACAATGTGTTATGTTGTGGAGCCTGATTAATATTTGATGTACTGTCATATATTGATGTTTATTCTTTGTAACCTAAAATACTCTAAATTATTAATATATATACCCACCGCCGTGGAAGTTTACTCACGGGGTGTTATCACGAAATATTGGTTTCTCTCTTTCTCTCTATATATCTCTCATCTCTTTCTCTTGCAAGTTCTTGTGTTCTTCATTCATCAAGTGTGTGTGTGGATTCAATCATAACACAATGAAATAGACGATACTTAAATGAGAAAGGAAGAATCACCAGACTAAAAAAAAAGATACATTAATATTCATGTTATTTGATACCAAAAAACAACAAACATAAAGGTACACATATTTCATTAGTCGTTATATAAAGTGATAAAAACAGAAACATACCAAAACGATACTTAAACAAGTATTTTAGATACATTAATGTCCATGTTATTTGATACTAAATAAAAACAAAACATAAAAGATACACAAATTACATTATTGCTTATGTACAGTGAAATAGAGGATATTGAAATGAAAAAATAAGAATCATCAGACTAAAAATAATAAAGATACGAATATGACAAAGATTGTTTACCATGGGTAATGTTGGTCGAATAATGAGAGGGGTCACCTTTCTACCCCTTTTCTTTGGGGTTTTCAGATCTTTTGAAGTAGATGCATGTACTTTCTTTATCGATTTTCTCTTGTTAGAACTTTGATTTGTCATGACTATCGGGTCATGCGACTTGTTAGAACTTTGATTTGTCATGACTATCAGGTCATGCGACTTGTTAGAACTCAATTCTTTGATGTTTTGGATTTTGAAAAATTGGAGTGTAAGCCAAAACAATAGAGATTAACGAAAAAAAAAGAATGTGAAAATCAAAATAGAGAAGATGAGAAAACCTATTTTGGACTCTAAATTCGATTAAATGGAGATAAATTTCTTTTAAAATTCAAACTTACTTGAAATTGATAATTGAAATGTTAGGAGAATAAATTAAGGGCGAAATTTGGGAAATGGGAAAGATCTTTTTCTAATTCCAAAGTAAAAATTAACCTTAAGTATTATTGGGAGAAAAAAAGAGATTTTTGAATTTTCATAAAAAAGTATGGAAATATATGGAATAGATAAAGTAATATTGTGTAATTAAATAATTTTTCCTTCTTTTTAAATCGAACATCTATTAATTTGAAAGTTTGAATCTATTATAAATATAATGTATATCTATTCAATTATAAAATAAAGGATAACTTTAAGGTAGAAAGTCAAAATTAAATTCGTGAAAGTAGAAACTTAAATAATTGAATACTTATACTATATAGTATACTCTTAAAATGTATCTATATTATGTTTATATACAAATACGTTTAGAGTAATAATATTTACTTATATATTAAACGCAACGAAATAAGTAAAAATATCCAACACACCCTTTTAAAACTATTTCTAAATTCTACTTTATATATATATATATATATATATAAATAATTATTTTTTGAAGTAAAATACTAATGGAACAATAAGTTTGACGGAAGATAATTAAGTTGAACAATTGTAAGAATTTGTATATATGATTTTTCTACATTCACTATCACAAGGTAATTTTTTGGTTACAAATTTAATTTTTTCCTCATCCATTACCAATTTCTATTTTTGGCTAGCAG